ATCCTCATTTTACTGATGAGAAAACAAGAGGTTAAGTGATTTGCCCATACAGCTGATATACATATACATGTATGTGTATATATATATATGTATGTATATGCCCATACATTTGATCATAGAGCTAGTGCCCTGGATTCAGGAAGACCTGAGTTCAAATCTGGCCTCAGACGCTCAAAAGTTACTAGCTGTGTGACCCTGGGCAAGTCACTTCACCCCACTGCCTTGCCAAAAATAAATAAATAAATGAATGAATGTAAAAAAAAAAAAGGAAAAGAAATTATGAGTAGGCAGACTTAAAAAAAATATTTTCTGTTTCTTACATCACCATAGTATGACATGTCTCTCCCCCTCTCCATCCTAGAGAGCTATCCTTTATAACAAACAGAATGTTGTGGAGAGGGGGAAAAAAAGTCAGCACATCTGACTGGAAAAGTCCAAAAATACATGCAGACGTGCTATAATGTGGACCTCCCACCTTCAAGAAGGACCAGGTTGGGAGTATCTTCTCATCTCTCTATATTTGAGACTCACTTGGTCTTTGTAATTTTGTTACATTTACTCTTGATTTTTTGGTGTGTCATTGTTCTTTCCATTTACATTGTTGTAGTCACTGCATTTTGTTTTCTTGTTCTGTTTACTTCACTTTGCATTAGTTCATATAGATCTTTCTGTGCTTCTGTGTATTCATCACATACATTTTTTTTTTGTGAGGCAATTGGGGTTAATGACTTGCCCAGTGTCACACAGCTGGTAAGTGTCAAGTGTCTTGAGGCCACATTTGAACTCAAGTCCTCCTGACTCCAAGTTTGGAGCTCTATCCACTGCACCACTAGCTGCCCCATACGTTATTTCTTGTAGCAGAGTAATATTCCATTACATTCACATACCACAATTTTTTAGCCATTCCTCAACTGGTGGCCTTTGTTTCAAATTCTTAGCTCTCACAAAAAGTGTTGCTATAAATATTTTGAATTATATGAGGACTTTTTTCTTAACAATGGCTTCCTTGGGGAATAAACCCAGTAATAGTCTCTGGTTTAAAGGGTATGTGACAGTTTATTTTCACAATTCCAAACTGCTCTCCAAAATGGTTCCATTTTACAGCTCCACCAACAGTTTATTAGTATGCTGGTCTTTTCACAACCCTACAACATTAACTGTTGCCATTTTTTGTCATTTTTACCAGTTTGCTGGGTGTGAGATAAAACCTCAGCTTTATTTTGATTTGCATTTCTCTTATTTTTAGTAAATTGGAGCTTTTTTTTTCAGAGAATTTTGATACAAAGATTTTTTTTCTTGTTTGGCCACTTCCCTTCTTATCCTAGATACATTAATGTCTGTGCTGCAGCTTTTTAGTTTCAAGTTCTTGTGCTATGAACACAATTATAGTTCTTCAGTTACTTTTAATCTTTTTAAAGGAAGCCTTGTTCCGCCTGGCTCTGTTCCTCTCACCCCATCACCTCTTCTCATTTGATACCCCTTTCTCTATAGGATTTTGTTGTTCTTTTTTTCTCTCTCCTGCTTTTATCTGGATATATAATTCTTCCCCCTCTCATTTCCTCTCTCTTAGTCAAGTAGATTCTTCCTTCCTCTCCTCCCTTCCAGCTAGTCTTGTTTATTAGTTTTTAAGTTTCTTTTTTTGTGTGCCTTTCCAAAAAGGATTTCTCACTTTTCATTATTCATCCTCTCTTTTGGTTTACTCTAGACCCTCATTCTCTAATTGATGTCCCCTATCTCTTTTCTTCATTCAATCAAAACTTCTTTGGTGTCCATTCTAGGGTCTCCCCTCTAGGTGGTTTCTGCCACTGCCTTGTAGTGCTTACTCCATGTGTTCCCATTTGCTATTGTATTTGGCTCCCAGAACAATGCCAGTTATTGCAGGTGTCAGAGAGGACGCTGTGCCATTGGAGAACCCCTAGTCACCCCCAGAATCACTATACCTTTTCTTGTTGACCTTTTTTCTATATTTGCCTGGAAATCTCCTTCCTGAGTCCATGCTCTCTACTCTTCCAGGTGCCAGTTACCTCCAGGGATTCCAACTCTCCCCTCTCCCAGAACAAGTAGACTTTTAAAGCTCCAGATCCTCCAGGTCTCATCCATTGTAAGGTCCTCATCTCCTGCCACCAGCCATATCTTCTTTTCTTTCTTTTTTTTTTTAAATTAATACATTTATTTATTTGGTTTTAGTTTCCAGCAATCACTTCCATAAGATTTTGAGCTCCAAATTTTCTCCCTGTCTCTCCCCTCTCCCTTCCCTAAGACACCATGTAAATTGATATAGGCTCAACATATACCTTCATATTAAACCTATTTTCACATTAGTCATGTTGTAAAGATGAATTAGTACCAATGGGAGAAACCATGAGAAGAAAGAAACAAAAAAAGAGAGAGAGAGAGAAAGCAAATAATATGTTTCGATCTGTATTCAGAGTCCATAGGTTTTTTTTTTCTGGATGTGGACAGCAGTTTCCATCATAAGTCTTTTGTAGTTCTCTTAGATCTTTGTATTCCTAAGAAGAGATAAGTCTATCAATGTTAGCTATCACAGTGTGGCTATTACTGTGTACAGTGTTCTCCTGCTTCTGCTCATTTCACTCTGCATTAGTTCATGTAAGTCTCTCCAGGTTCTTTTTGAAGTCTGCCTACTCATAATTTCTTTTTCTTTTTTTTTTTTTTAACATTCATTCATTTATTTATTTATTTTTGGCGAGGCAGTGGGGTGAAGTGACTTGCCCAGGGTCACACAGCTAGTAACTTTTGAGCGTCTGAGGCCAGATTTGAACTCAGGTCTTCCTGAATCCAGGGCTGGTGCTCTATCCACTGTGCCATCTAGCTACCCCACTCATCATTTCTTATAGCACAAAAGTATTCCATCACAGTCATATGCCACAACTTGTTCAGCCATTCCCCAACTTGATGGCAACTCCTCAATTTCCAATTCTTTGCTACCGCAAAAAGAGCTGCTACAAATATTTTTGTATATGTGGGTCCTTTTCCCATTTTTATGATCTCTTTGGGATACAGACCTAGAAGTAGTATTGCTAGATCAAAGGGTATGCACAGTTTTATAGCCCTTTGTGTATAGTTTAAAATTGCCTTCCAGAATGACCATCTCCTCCAATAGAAGTATTCATTCATAGAAGCATACCATCTCCAACCCCTCCTTTTCAGTGTTTCCCTCCCTTCTCACTTACTTCCCTGTAGGTTCTTCTCCTTCTAAGACTATAGAGATCAATTTTCCCCTCATTGCTATTCCTTAATTTGACCTGGGCACATCACTTACTCCTCTCTATCCCCCCTCCCCACCTCCCACCTCCCACCTATGTACCCTCCCATGTTGTAATATCCCACAAAAAAAAATTGTTTCACTGGTAGTACAGGACCTTACCAGCCACTTATTCCTCAGTTCCCTGCAATCTGGCTTCCATTATTATCAAGCAGCTAAACCTGCTTTCTCTGTCAGTCAGTAAACATTTAAATATCTATTATATGTCAGCCAAGATGTTAAGCTCTAGGGATAACCAAAAAAGCAAAATATTGACCCTGTTCTATAAGAGCTCTCAGCCTAATGGGGGAGACAACATGAAAACAACTATGTACCAACAGGACATAGACAGGATAAATGGGTAATAATTAAGAGAGGAAAGGCAGTAGAATCAAGGGAGATCAAGAAAGGTTTACTATAGAAGGTGACATTTTAGCGGAATTTTTAAGGAAGCCAGGGCAACCATAAAGAGATGAGGGAAGAGAGTTCTAGCCATGGGAGACAGCCAGTGAAAATGCCAGATACAGAGTTTCTTGGGTGAAGAACAGCACTGGATCACAGAGGATGTTGGGGGACAACCAAGGTCTTTTCCAAGCTCATCAGTTACCCCGACCAAATCTCATGGCTTTTTCTCATGTCTCACCTTTCTTGACTTTTCTGTAATAGTTGACACTGTAAATCACTCTTCATTTTGGATGCTCTGTTTCCTTGGCTTCTGTGGAATTGCCTTATTTAGGTGTCTTCGTACCACCTTGGTTGATCTTCTTCCTCCTGTTCCTAAGTGTAGGAGTGCTCCAAGCCTTTGTCCTGAACTTATCTTTTTCTGTGTTCTCATTTTGCTATCTCACCCATTCTTTTGGCTTCAATTGCAGTTTCTATTTCAGTGACTTACAAATCAACATATTTAACCCCAAGCCTCACCTGGAGCTTCAGCCCCAATTTCTTATCTCCTTACTCAAAATATCCCTTTCAGTGTCCACCAAAACCTACCCTTTACAACGTCTTGCCTATTTCTGTTGATGGTGCAGCTTTCCTTCTAGTCACCTAGGCTTGAAAACTTTGCAGGGGCTACATGACCACTTGTCAGGCATGTTATAGAAACTATCTAGCCAGTTAACTGGTATTTGTTAAGTACCTGCAATTGCCACACACTGTGCTAGACATAGGGACAGTGTAGACCAAAATAAAGCAGTCCTACCCCCAAGAAGCTTACATTCTACCAGAGGAGATAACATTTTCATATACAAAATAAATAAAAGATAATTTAGGGAGCACACACAGCTGGGGACATCAAGAGAGGTTTCATATAGAGAGTGGTACTGAAGCTGAGTGCCAGCTTTTAGAAGGTGCCACTTTCTCTGAGGATATTCCCTGATCCCCCTAGTTGTTATTGTTGTCTCTTGATACAGTTTACCTTCTGTTTACTTATCGTTCATGTTGTTTGTATCGTGTCACCCCAGTAAAAGTGTAAGCTCTTTGAGGGGAAGGGACCATTTTCATTTTTGTCTTTGTACTCTCAGAACCTAGCAGAGTATCTCAACACATTGGGAGTTCAGTCAATGTTGAATTGAGCCAAAACGGGCTTTCTCAATGAGTTCACAAAGGAAGTTTTTCTAACTATTAAAAAGCAACAACTCACAAGTAAGACCAATAAAACATTCTTTAAGGTATGTCATTTTTATAGATATGAACCTCACAATACTCAAGTAACAGTTGTTTTTTTCTCATTTATTAGGGTAAAAGGATTTCATTTTACAAACGGGCTCAGATACTTGTGGCAGATACTTGGTGTGTTTTAGAAGGAAAAGGAGATGGCTGCTTCAGTGACATTTCCAGTATCACTATGTTTGCTGACTACAGACTACCTCAGGTTCTTGCTTACTTGGGAGCAGTAAGATATTCTGATGAACTACTGAAGAAACTTCTTAAAGGTTTGTAAATTGTTTATAATATAACTGTTTGCTTATACTCGTTGGGTTGTTATTCTGCATTTTGTGAGCTGGTGTACTTAATAGGAAGACCTGAGTTTGAATCCTTCCTTAAACACTATGTGACCCTTAGCAAGTCATATAATCTCTCTCTCAACCTCAGCTTTTCCATCTATAAAATGAGATGATTTATAACAACTACCTCACAGGGTTATTGTGAGGATCAAATGATATAATTATTATAAAAGACTTTGCAGACTTACTGTATCATTCTTCCCTGAGCCAGTGCTGTTTGCAGTCATCCTGAGCTGGGGGCAAGACTCCTGCACCCACCTCCACTGTTTGGCTTCTTCTTAGACTTTCTCTTGCACCACAACTAGGGAGTAGGGATGTCACTGCCTGATTCCTACCCCAGTGGGGACCTGCCTTAGAACCTTCTTCATTGTTAAGTGCTCTGAAAACAAGACCCCTCCCCCCTTCTCCAGCACAGGCAAGGCACTATGGCCTCCTATACCTCTACCTGCTTGTGTTTGCTGTGAAGTGGGCCTCCTTGGGTCTCACAGGATACAGCATATCCTTCTGCGAGGAAGCTGAACCTCAACGGTGGATCTACGGTTGTCTAAACTGCTGCTTACCTCAGTAGTCTTCTCTCTGTATTCTTCCTGGACATAGAACTCCATGGTCAGAGCATTCATTCCTTTGTATTCACCCTGTCACTCCAGATGTACCTACCCCTTTCATTGTGCCCTCTGAATACCTGCCCCATAATTAACAAACTTGCTTTCATTTTAAACCTTTTCTGCTCTATTCATCTTCTGGTCCTCACTGAGATAGATCCCTCCTAACTGCAATTCCCTTGTCACCCTTTCCAGTACTGGCTACATTTTCTTTTGTACCCCAACTCACTGGTCATGGTTGGGGAATAGGAATATTTCTTACCCTCAGTTGCCATTTGACCACCTTCACTAGCATCCTCTCTTCCTTTGAGATTCATGCTATCTAACTTTATCACACAATCCTAAATCTGCTGGCTGTTCTTTATAAGCCCCTCAGGACATTCTCCTTTCTTCCTCAGTGAGTTCAATGCCCAACTCATAATCTTTCTCTCCTTCAAGTGTCCTAACATCCCAATTCCTCATTCTACCCAGTTCTCATGTTCTACTTCTCCACTCCACCCCAGCTATACATATCTTGACCTTGTGTAACCTGTAAGCGTTCCATTCTATGTTGATGACCTCTCAAATTCCTTTGATCATAATCTGTTATCATTCCATCTTTCCTTGTGTTTATAACTTCTAATCCTATTTTTCATCCTTATCATCCTCACCTCCATTCTGTCTCTGGCTACTCTTTTCTTTTTTCCCTATATCTTTGTCAAGTTCTTAAAAGAACTCAGCTCTACACTGCATTACACTCTCATTTCACTCCCCTCTCCCACCACAGGTCTTATTGCCAATCACACTTTGCCAAACCCCAGCCCTAGATTATTCCCACCAGTTGTCTCTTTTATTACTGTTCAATAGAGCCATAGGAAATCACCAAACCATGCTGACTGGGCTCTCACTGCAGCAAAGCAAACATTCTATTCCTTCTCAATTGATTCACCATCTCACTATCCAAGTTGGGAACCTTGGTGATTAGGAGGATGATGGTGGCTCAACAGTTATATCGAAGTTCAGCAGGGTGGAGAATTTGACTATTCTAGATTTTCTTGTCTCCTCAAGCTTCCTTCAATACTTCCTCACTCTCTGTTTGCAAAGGAGCTCACCTCATACTTTATCAAAAAAAAAATGTCAAGAAGAATGAGACCATTCACTAAGAACTCCCCTACTCTCTTCATCTCATATCACTCAGTAGGACACAGTGTACATTGACCCACCCTGGTTGTGATGTCATTTTGGTTCTCTTCAAACACGAGAACAAACAACAACATGCCCCCTGAAAAGTACTTTGTCCTTTTCCCTCCCTTTTCAGCTTCTTTTTTTGGTGTTGATCTCCCATTAGGTGAGGGAAGGGACTTTTATTCTTTTGTATCCCTACTGCTTAACACTGCTGGCACTCAGTAAGCAGTTAAGGTTTATTGACTGACTGGCCGAAAGAATGTAGATGGCTCATGTCTATCCATATCCACCTAGATAAAACTCCTCCACTCCAGCTCTTTCCATCCCTTCTACTGTGACATCTGGAAATTTTTTCCTCTTCATAATTAACAAGCAGAAGCTTCATTTTAGACCTCTTCCCCTCATGGTCATTTCATCTCAGGTGCTCTCAGAGACCTGGCTCCTCTTGGATGACACTTTATCCCTAGCCATCCTTTCCAGTAATGGTTGCCCCTTCTTTGATGCAACATTAGACCAGGAAAGGGAGTTGGAATACTCCCCATGGTCATTTCCAGATTCTCCATTTAAGAATATCCAAGAGGAGAGAGGGTGGTCATTAGTGACAAATGATAGAGGGATGAGGATTGATTAAAGATCATTTGATTTGGCAATTTAGAGATCATTGGTGACCTTGGAAAAGACAGTTTCTTCAGCAACTTCTCCGTAGAGGTTCAATTTATGCAAATTTATCACCCAATTCAGGTCCAAGTGGCCATAATCTCTCAGTATCTGGTTTATAGTATTCCTCATCACTCCTAACTTCCCTGTTGCTGTTGAGAATATGACCATCCTCCCATTCACCCAGGCTCATGATCTAGGTGTCATTCCCACCTCCTCACTTGCTTATCCCCCATATTCACTCAGTTGGTTAAGTCTTGTCATTTCTACCTTCATACATCTTGTATATATGCCCCCTCTCTCCTTGACACCACTATCACCCCAGTGCAGACTCTTATCATCTCACATCTGGACTATTGCAGTAACCTACTGGTTGCTCTCCTTGTATCAAGTCTCTTTCTTCTCTCCAAGCCATTCTTCACTTAGCTGTCAAATTGATCTTCTTAAAGTGCAGGTCTGACCTTGTCACTTCATTCTTTTCTTTACTCCAGTTTCTGGTGGAGAGTTAACCTTTCTTTCCAAGGCCAATCTATCTACCTGTACCTTTGATTGCGTGGCTTTTTCTCATCTTCTCTAGCAAATGGCCTCCACTTTCACCCCTTCTTTCTCTAATCTTTAATCTCTTTGTATCCACTGGTTCCTTCCCTTCTATCTACAAAAATGCCCATGTTCCCTGTTGTGAAAAAAAAAAAAACATTCACTAGATCCTATCTCCCTACAAGCTAAAGTCTTGTATATCACCTCTCTTTCCCAGCCAAACTCTTTGAAAAAGTTGTCTATACTTACTGCCTTCTTTTCCTCTTTCTTTTAAGCCTCTTACAATCTGACTTCCAATGTAGTTACTCAACTGCCCCTTTCCAAGATTACCCATGACCTCTAATTATCAAATATGATAACTTTTTCTCAGTTCTTATCCTTTTTGTATTCTCTGTGGGATTTGGCACTGTTGACCATTGTCCTGGACACCCTCTCGCCTCTGGGTTTCCTAACACTTTCGGTTATTCTCCTACATTGTATAACCACTCCTCCTCATTCTCCTTTGTTGAGTCTTTTTTTTTCTTTTTTTCTTTTTTTTAGGTAATTGGGGTTAAATGACTTGCCCAGGGTCACACGGCTAGTAAGTGTCAAGTGTTTGGTCTGAGGCCGGATTTGAACTCAGGTCCTCTTGACTTCAGGGCCAGTGCTCTATCCACTGCACCACCTAGCTGCACTGTTGAGTCATTCTTTAAGATACACTCACTGACTGTGTGAATACCACACAACTCTATTCTAGGCCCTTTTCTCGATTTCTCTCTTTATTCACTTGGTAACCTCTGTGGCTTTAGTTACCATCTTTATGCAGATAGCTAGCATGAAGATCTATGTATCCAAATCTAGTCTCTTGAACTCCACTCCTGCATAACCAATTGCCTACCAGATAATTTGGACAATATGTCCTGTAGACATTTCAAACTCGGCATATGTCACACTGAGTTCATTATCTTTCTTCTCAGACTCATCCCTATTCTGAACTTCCCTATATCTGTCAAGGTACTAGCATCCTTCCATTCATCCAGATTTGGAACCTTGAAGTTATGCTCAGCTCCTCATTTTCTCTCATCCAACATAACCATTCAACATCATATCTTTTCTCCTTCTGATCTCTTGTATCCATCCCCTTCTATCTCTCTTACAGCTTTCACCCTATCTCAGGCCTTTATCAGCTCTCTCCTGGGGTACTGCAATAAGCCTTTTCCTTGATCTTCCTACTCTGTCTCTAGGCATCCTTCACATAACTAACAAATTGGTTTTCCTGAAGTGCAAATCTGACCATACTGTTGTCCTAAATAAGTTCCAATGCCTCCCCATTTTCTCCAAACAAATTCCTTTGTTTGGTATTTAGAGCCCTTTTCCTACCGTGTCCCACCTTACCTTTCCACCTTCATTATACATTACTCTCCCTGTATGCTACAGTCCAGCCATATGGGTCTTCTTGTTATCTTCATAAAGAGAACTCCAGAGGATCCAGGAAAAGAGACAGAGAAGCAGCAGTCAGAAAGAAGAATTACAGAAAGAAGAATTACAGAAAGATGAAGAAGAGGAGCAGACTCATTAAGCAGATGATGCAGAGTCAGACTGTTCCTGAATGAAGTCAAGGGCATCTAGGCCTGCAGCCCAGAGTTAGAATTCCTGGTGAGGAATGTTTTCTACCAGGGCAAGATTGGCACCTAGCTGCTAAGATAAAGACTGGGCTACAGCTGTGGGAATCCACACAGAACAGATGCAGTAGTTTTGTTCCTGGAAGCTGCTTTCCTCCTTAAGTGATTTACATTCTATGTCTGTTTGGAGAGTTTCTGCTCTCTCAGCTGTGCCTCAACTTTCTGGAACATCTGATGCTCCAACTGGTGGATGGAGTGCTTCCTTCTGGACTACATATGAAAATGGCCTTAAAGAAATAGTATATTATATACTAAGAATTAAACACAAAATCAGAATCTGAAGGGAGGAAGAGGAGAAATAACTTGG